ATTAAACGAGCAGCTTGGTTTTATCCTTGACTTTCTTTCAAGACCTCTCTAGGAATTTCAGAAGAAACACTCTGAAGCATGTGCTCAAGCCACAGGCAAGTCTCAGAGCTGGGAACACCTGGGAGGCTGTTTCCCTCAGGGCTTTGCAAACAAAGCCTGCCTTCGGGGCAATTCTGTGCAGAAAAGGGCACGCAGAGGTAAATTTTGGGGTGAGGACAGCCCAGCTCTGAAAGGTCAGCTTCCACACAGCCCCGCAGAGCACAGGTGAGATTCCCCCCTCCCCTGCACAAGCTGCCAGAGGCATGCACAGAGCCCTGGCCTTAGCCTCGTGTCTTCACACAGCCCAAGACACCCAGCATCCCTCCTGCACCCCTTATACGAATTCTCACTTTCATTATTCTTCCTTAAGGCGCTTTACTCCCTCTCTTCCCAGAGCAGGTAAATGCACAAACACTTCCCAGCTATGGGTGATGAAAACTCCACCCTACAATTATTGAAAAATTAAGGGGTGCAAGAGCCAGCAGGCAGCTATCCCCGTTCATCTGAGGTGCACGGTACATGTTAATTAAACCATAGCATTACTAGTCACTTGTGCGACCTCCATGCTGTTGCCCACAGACACCAGAACATGCTTTCTTCTTGGGCAGCGTGTCCCATGACAGGCACCAGAAAGATGGTGACAAGCAGCGCAGGAGGTGTCCACCCCCACCCCGTGCTGCCGGCAGCTCAGGGCCTCTGCAGGGTTAAGGTGGTGGTGCAAAGAGGGAGAAGGGAAGCTGGAATTGCATCAAACATAAGGGCTCCTGGGGCTGCACCAGTCTGGAAGCACTTAACTGGAACCATCTTCCCTTTCTGGTTCACCTCCAGCTCGGCGGGACAGGCCACAACCGGAGCGCCGAGGGATTATCTGAATCCCTACAGAGGACAACTGCTGACCTCGGGTTAAACAAACGCATCCTCAACACACACAGGCTAAGGTAGCGTTTTCCCTGCAGCACAAGACAGATTCAGGACTAAACATGTGAAATGAGCCCCTAAATTCCCATCACCTAGAGCGCACAGGTGCCAGGTTCTGGCTCTTTCCAGAGACCCTGCGAGGGGTCCCTCTGTCCTGAGCCAAAGGAGCACACTGTACTGCTGAACCGTGCCCCAGCGCACACACCCCGTCCTCGCCTCAAAGAAAACTTGGCATCACTGAAAACAGGCCCTTCCTCTTGCCCGCATTAGGGATTTTATAGCTCAGCTGAGGTACACACATCACTTGTACAATACAGACATGGCCCTGCTCCCAGCACAACACCCCAGTGCTCTCCACCACGGTTTGTGCAGGGGCCCTTGTCCATCGCGGCCAAACTTCTCCACTCACACTTCACCTTTTAGTCTGGATGCCAGTTTTCCCCTCTAATGTGATCAGATAGATGATTTCTCACATTTTTTCCACTGAAACAGGAAAGAGAAGTAACTTGTAATGCAGACAGAAAGAGGATTAAGTACTTCAGAGACCAGGCAGCCGAGCATCAATGCTTTAGGTGATTTCCTAACCCAGTTGGAGGGCTGCGATAACGGCTCGGTGACACAGCACAGAACCAGAGAACCCTTTGGGGTGGAAGAGGCCTTCACGTTCACCACATCCAACCAGCAGCATTCAGGCCAGGGGTTAAGAAACCACACGCTCAAACTGGATGTGGATTACTGGCATGGGCTGGGGGTGGTTGTTCTTCTTATGACTACCTAAGCCGCACTAAGAGATTAACCTTTCCATGAGAGTTCACACAGCGCCTGCTTTCAGCAGTGCTGGCAGGCAGAGCAGTGCTTCAGTGACCATCAGCAGGCTGACTCTAACAGACATGACCTGAAGACCCCTCTGAAAGGTCCCAAAGCACTTCGAAGTGTCTGGCAGCCACTTGTCCACAGTAAACCTTTGTGGTGTGTATGAATATCCGAACTCGGTGCCTAAAGCCTGTGAAATAAGTCAGCAGTGCATCTGAAAAAACATTTCAGTCTAAACAAGGCGTAAGTACTTACAGTACCAGTGATACACTGGCAGAAACTCTATGCCTAGATGGCAGAAGGCATAAAAATCTTTTTAAGTCTAAAAACTATCCCATAGGCTTAATTTTAGACGAATAGCCATATTGTGTTCATCCTCTAGAATGACAGGAGGCAGAATAGAGAATATAATCTGCCAGACTTCACAAACACGCCCGGGAGGTTACTTGCAGGCCCATAAACCACACTATCTTTTGTCTAAAATAACTATTATCCTTCATATCGGATTAACAGTAAGTGAATCCTGCACACAGGGCAAGAAGCAGCTTAGCCACTCGAGCAGTTTTGCAACCACACTCATCACATCCTACTTTAGGCATAGACTGGAACGAGGTGGAAGACAACAACTCAGAGAATGGGATGGTGTTTTTCCCAGAGAAAACAAGCAAGTAAAATTATCTTAGAAGTTCAGTACGATATAACACAGCTCACAACGGTATTTCCCAGCCAACTACTCTATTTCAGAAGTGGGATGTGGAGATTTTTGGCTAGAGTCCTGATATGAACTTTATCTGTCAACATACAGTCTAAGTAGATTCCTCTTCCTCCCCCTGAAATCCAAAGTGTTCCAACCAGAGACTGTGGCTTTGGCTCATCATCAGTTGTTCTTCACATCGTTGAGGCTGTCATATGCCGAGTGCTTTGTTATAAAGCAAACCTCCTTGTTTCCTAAGTTTATGTTGCGCTGAGAGATTTTACTAAGAAAACTAGAGGTCAACAATGAAATATTCTGAACAGCCAGCCAACAACCACAACATTCATGGCAAGTGGAGGAGCCCTGTGAGAGATTAGAGAGCAGCTATTGAGCTATGCTGTGCTAGGTCATTAAAGCTTTTAGAGGGGAAAAAAAAAAAATCCCTTACAATTCCTGTAGCTACCTGCTGTAACTGTTCACACAAAGCTGATTTACCAGACAAAATGCTCCTCTCATTTTGGTATAAACAACAACTGGAGCTCTACAAGCCTCTGTCTGGGCAACTCAAGACCTCTCCTCCAAGCAGTTGTGTATGTTTAACAAAAATTAAGACTTTAGTGAAGACGCGTACTTAGATGCTGCATCTAAAAAGAACTAAACAAAGCAATAACCATTAAGTCCATAAACTCCTCACAAGTAAAATTCAGGAGCACATGAACCTAAGTCCCACTGCTTTTATAGCAACACAGCAGACATCATCAGTTTACTGTATCTCATACGTAAACCCCTCCTGCTCCACAAGTCTTTCCTAGGAGGACAGCAGGGGCCTTGCTTCTAGTCCTGCCTGACAGCAGGTTTAAGCACTGCCTCACTCCAGCATCCTCACACAACATCAGGCGATGGCCAAGTGCCAAGGAACCCAACGTTTGCCACGTGACAGTCATGACTGCAACTGGGTATTTCAGTGTACTTGAAGTTTCTTTCACTTTCTCAGGCCAGTTTCCTATGTTGGGATATTAACAATTGCCCAAGCTGGTCTTTAAGCAGTAACTCGTGGCTGTAAAACTACCATGATTTTTGGCTTTAGGTTCCCCTGCAGTCACCCCTATTCCCACAAAGTCATGCCCACACCAAAAGTGGCCAGTGAGATCTGAAGTCACTCCTCCCTCCACATGGGCATATCGATACAACAGTTTGGTACTAACAGCAGGTCTCTACATTTCTGAAACGCTTGCCTATTTCTCCATACCTTTACTCATTTTAATTTTTTTAGCAATTAACTGTCATTTCTTCTGAACCATAACTCAGAAATACGATTTCCTTTCGACTGTGGACAACACTGTCCTCCATGTGTTGGCTTGTGGCCATTATGCACATGCTAACAAAGCAAAAACACAAAGGAGAATCTGAACCCCTGCATTCAAGGGGCACGATTTCACCCCACCTGTCTGAAGGGCAAGACAAAACCCTTCTCCAGTCCACAAAAGTAGATGAAGATTTCCTTGCGAGCCATCCTGACTTCAGTAGGTGTTGAGCTCTGCCAGATCAGGTGTTCCTGTGGTAAAACCACAGTTTTATCAGCCAAGGTGTCTACTTTTAAGAATCAAGACTGTCAAAAACCTTGAAAGGCTTCCGATTTTTTTTTTTTTAACTGCATCAAAACCAGATATAGTACCCCACAAGAGAAGAGTTACCACCACAAGGAAAGGCTTCTCAAGTGCAATACTGAGATCACAGTTGCTACTGGTGCAAGATGTGCAGCCTGCCTGCTCCCAGGATATATTAGAGTTTCAATACACAAATTAAACCTTTCCAACCTCAGTAGAGAGGGCAACAGCTCTGTGTCACATGCTGGAGCCTTAAATAAAACACTGCCCAAACCCATGACATTTTCCACAGAAAAAGGGGCAACAAAGCAACAGACTTGCAACAAAGAAAAAGGTGAAGGCCCACTGCTCCCTAAAACCTGTTAAGGACACAATAGAGAGAATCACTTTATGGAAAGAACATTTATTTTTGTTTTAAAACTTGTGATCCATAGAAATACAATAAAAATCAACATGTACACAAAACTTTAAAACCAACAAACTTTGGTTCAAAGAAATATTTAACATCTAAATCTTCTGAGGTACAGAAGGCACAAGACCAGGCACCCAAACATACGGAATCACCCACAGCACTGTTTGCACCACTAGTACAGAGAAAGTTGGGATGGTGGAAGCAAGTCAGAGGAGGATGGCAGGTGTGTGGGGACCATGGAAATAACAGCAACCAAAACACAAGTATGTGTACAATGCCATTTACTTTCTTTCACAAGTGTTACATATTTCGTTGTCCTTTTATGATAAAGTGCCAGGACTCTTGGAGAAAAAGATGGATCATTTCTTAGAAATGAACTGGAACAACCAACAGTAGAAAAGGAGACAGAAACAAAGGCCTGCAGCAGGTTGGGTTTCAGTCAACCTCTGTTCTCCCACAAGGTCTTAAGAATTCATTTCCTCTTTCATGAAACCATTTGTTTGAAACTGTGGAACAAGGATGTGAAATTAGTTACCCGCCACATAGCCAGTGCACGTATCACCACAACCCAGATGGTCACCTCAAGTAAAATCTCTTCTCTCTGTCTGAGCATCCCTGCTTACACCTCTACCCATCCAGTCGGAAAGACATGGGAAGATGCAAAGGGCCAGGGAAGAAAGAATCTTTCAAGTTGCATCGTTCTGGGGCTAACAGTGATGGGGCAGTGATCATTTACAGATCAGCACCCTCTGGTGCTTCAAGGGAACACCTTGGAGCCTGGGGGAGGTGGCTATGGGAAAGGACAAAGCTTGAGCAGCTTTCAGCAGTTAGCAGAAATCTGTGTCCAGACATTCACATTTACCCTACAAGGAGCTCCCCTCCTTCTGCAGTTAAAATGACGCACAAGTCTTTGTAGGAACAGACCCGATTCTAGTCGAGTGATAATTCAAGTCACCCTGATGCTGATACACTACACAAACCCGGTGACATTCTTAAACATTTTGTGCTGTCATTGACAAAAAACCCAAACCCACTAGAAAAGCTACAGCTGAACAACACAGGTGCTTAATACTACATAATGTTGATGGTGGGAGGTTTTATTAAGGCCAAATGACTCCAGTAGTTGAAATAACACCAGGTTTTAAAACGCTGTTGTAAGAGTTCAGTATATGACCAGTTCTCTCACACATGAAGCTTCCTTCAGGTTTTGTTCCTAAAGGAGTATTACTTACCCCATTTACATCCTACTAGTACTGGACAAGCTGCATGCCTCGTTCTATAATCGCCCTCACCACTTCTGAAAAGATTGTACCAAAACACTGCTGTTCCCTGAAAAGCGAAATTGGATCTGGGTTAGTCAGAACCTAGGCAGTGTTATTCAGGTTAGAGTAAGGGGGGAAATGTCTATGAATTTAGCTGCAGGCTCTTTTGAAGCACTTACACATAGGCCACCACTGACAGCATGGGAAAAAAAAACACCTCAGTCCCACTCTAATTCAGCTGTGTTCAGAGGAGAGAGGAGTTCTAACTGAACACGTTACAAGAGCTCGGCACAGAAACCATTCACATTACACACTGTGAAACCGAGGAAGCAGCCCTGCAGGCTACAAGATCAGGCCCAGCTGCCCCGATACATAATGAAGCTGCAATGAACAGCACTTTGTCACCTCAGCTGACAGAAAGAGATGCAGGAGTGTACTGAGGAAGAGACAGTAACAGTAGAGAGGAGAAATCAAGCAAAACAGACTTTACCTTCTTGGGCCATATTGCTGCCCCGAAATCTGGGAAAACTGTAGCTCCTCCAGCTTCTACATCACTCATCTGAGAAAACAAAGTCCACAAACTCTGTCCCTTCACAACACATTTTGTACATGCAGTCCCACAAGCTGAAGTGCCCCAAGCCCTAACAGAGATTTCTCCTCGCACCCCTGCACGAGGCACTGAGGAGGAAAAGGTGCAACTTCAGCCAGCACAAACCACAGGGTAACAGTACCTGCTACTGAAGGCTTTCACTTTAGCTGAAGGCTTTTATTCAGCACTTCATCTAGATTATATACAACCTAGTGCACAAACAGTTGGCCATACAGAGTTGCGTACCTGCAGTGTTAATAAGCCAGTGCTCTAGAACAAGGGAGAGGACTTCAGAGTAAAATCAGTTTCAAGAATTTCATTCCAGTTTATGATCCAATTAGGAAAACAAGCGTCTTGTTAAACCACATGTTTCCTCATAAATTGAAACCATGTCTTTGGAACCGATTTTCGTAATTTAGTTTATGCATCTTGGTCAACCACTTCAAAAAAAAACCACTATACAAACTATTAGAAAACCCTCACTTTCTGCAGTGTTTGAGCTGTTCATCAGCGATGTTACGCCACTTCAAGCTTTAACACAGACAGCTACGTGGCTCTAGAGAAAAGCATGCGTCTTTATGCTTTGCCTTTCTGCACTGCAATGAATTTAACCCCACTGAATTCATCAGCAACAACAAATTCGCTATGAATTCTAGACTTGATCCCAAACCCACCAAAATTACTGGAAACACTCCCAGTTAGGAACAGAAAGTCTTTCCACTGATTTCAGTAGGTTTTTGATCAGATTCTAATTAAAAGAGTCAGATCCAGCTCCCACCAAATTTAAACAGCAGAGCTACTATTAACACACTCCCCGAGTCCCCACAGTCTCCACTGTAACTTGGATTTCTGTTTAAAGCAGATATTGTTACCCCTCTGGTGTCCTCTTGCTTGATACGTACAATAAAAGGGCATAAGATGCCACGGGTGCACAGGTTTTTGCCCCTTCCAACTAGAAAGCGTGTGCATGCAACTTTTCAAGTTAATACCTACGTCTTAGCAACACCACCACTTTTTTTTTAGTAAGTGTGTTGGTACATGTATGTGTTCTACACAGGACATACAAGGGTGAAATTGCCTTTGACCATGTACAGCTGGCAGAGAATAAGGTGCATATCATTCGCTCTAAATCAAGGCTTGCCCAAAAGCCTGAGAAAAACAAAATACAGATTGAGACAATTTAAAATTAAAGCCTCTTATGAGCAGACTATTTCACAGCTACCTTTCTTAGTTTGATTCTTGTTTTGGAGATTGCTTCCTCCCCCTGCCGTATCAAGTGGAAAGTATTTCTGGTTCTGGTTTGAGCCGCATCTCACACCCAGAATACTAGCCCAGCCAGAAATATTTCACCACAGAGTTTTAAATTTGAAGTTGTATCACTCAAAAGTTAAACACAGATTAGGTAATTACTGAGATAGATATATATATATATATATATATATATATATAGGCTGATAGATAAAATATTGTCAGAAGACCACTGTGGAAACAATAGGCCACTAGTATCAGTTACGTTCGATTCCAGTGTACATGATCTGTAGGCTGTGTAACGCATGCAACTAATGAATCTTTTCAATCCTCCATTCGTAACCCAGTTGTGCCAACTTTATTAGCCATGTCTCCTCCATCTGCTGAAGCAACAGCTATGCCAGAGTAACTCTAGCTTCAACAAACAGGTAAATGGAGGCTGACAGACCACAACATCAAGTGCCGTCAAACAGTGGTGGAAGAACATGACTATCTGACAGTACGTGGCTGATAGTCAAGTTCTCAGTGTACCACAGGAGTACCCCAAGCACTCGCCTTTGAGAAATAAGCCAAATTATCCTCTCCCACCAACAGGAATCCAATGAAGTCAAAGATTTCATAGTAGAGTGGCCAAAAGGGGAAGCTGAGCCCTACATTCCAATTTTCTGCTCTGAGGTTAAATACCACCAGAATTCTGCCAACTCAGATGGGACAGCACCTGATGCTGCAAGAATAATGAAACCCCTACTTCCAGATGCCAGGGAATCTCTACAAATAACCAACTGCACAAGCTGTAAACAAAATGCTGCTAAAGTTACACTCAATGCATAAAGGATCATCATACTTACATAGTTTAAAAAAGTGGCCACACGATTTCCAGTCCCTAACCGCTTGAAAGCATCTGGCTCATCTTTCTATAAAATTAAATGAGAGTAACTGCAAACTTCAAGCTCACGGACAGCAGACAAACAGAGGTACTTACATAGTTAAGAAACGTCGCTAGCCTATTTCCTTCCGATTTGAGTGTGCTGTCAAAGGGTCGCTGTAACAGACAACAACTTTAACCCAAGTTAACAGGCTCACACTAGAGTTACAGATGTGTAGCTCTGCAGAAAGATCCTTAAGCCCAATTTAAAGAGTTGGGATAGAAAAGGGACACATCAATACAGGGTGACATTGAAGCCATTACAAGTTGCAGCCAGGGTGCATAACTGCATGCACACAGCGCTCGGAGGCTATAAGGAGAAGGAGCACTGAAGCAATTCGTAGTGCAGAGTAGAAGCAATGTTTTCAGGGCCTGTGGCATTGAAGTTGTCCAAGTAAAGTTAACAATGCACTATTACTATACTAGACACTGATCCAACGTCAACAGCTGGGGCAAATACGAACAACTTGTCTTCAGTGGGCTTTGGATAACACATTAGATTCTCATAAATGTACTATTGACTCAAAGAAATACCGAAAAGAAAAAAAAATAATGCCATTTTTGCCAGCAGGCAAAATTGCAGAATAGCAACAATCAACTGCTTTCAGGTGGTTGCCTGTCTAGGACTAAGGACCACATCAAAAAGATCAAATTGCCTTTACTCTCTAGGAAACACTGAGTTTTGTTGAAGTATGAGATTGCACTGGTGTCAGTTTAGAAGTGGAAAAAACATCTAGATTACTAATGTCTCTCCTCCCTTAAAAAAAAATGTAATTAAAAGTTTATTTACATTGCTAATTGTCAGGAAGTAATTTCACCCAGGAGATATTAAGGTGCACTCTTCTACACAAAGCCAATAATCTTTAACATTTGAAAGAAAAGAAAAAAAATCAGCATTAGAAAAGAAAAACCACAGCCACCATCTCAAAGACGTTATCGTTCAATCTACTTAAAATTTATTTCTTGAAATATACTTTTTATGAACCCATTTCAGGAAAGACAACTCTTGTGTCCGCATATGCAAAATCAGTCCAAAAGAGCCACCGTAAGAGCACTGAGAGGGGTTTTCCCTGGTTTCTGCCCCCGCTGTCAACTCCAGGTCCAGCCAAGCATTTCTGAACATCAATAGATTTCTCTGACTTCTGAGCAACCAATAAAACCTCAAAATTGTAATACGCAACCATTTTTGTGGCCCTATTTGAGAACTGAGGGGAATAAAAAGCTGGGAGGCTGATCAGGAGATGGGGAGATAGAACCTGTATTTCAGTACTGAGATCTGTGATGCACAGAGAGCCTGGAGGACCAGTCCAAACCCATGGCAAATCCTGCGACTGCCTTGCCTTAACTGGTGAGTGCAGCCAAGGTTATGTTCCAAGTGGAGCTCTGCCCCAGCTGCCTGATCCAAAAGTAAAGTCCACCCTGGCCAATCTGATGGCTCAAGTCCTCGAGTTCAAAGGCTCTGAAGAGAATTTAAGAGCATTTGCTTGACTCAGGAAACGAAGCAGTCTTAAAGTTAACAGGAAAATTCTCTTAACGGGCCAAAGCTAACGAATATGAGCTTCCACAGTGTGGAAGGTCAGGATTTTTTTTTTTTAGGGCTTGGGTTTTGGTTTTTGGGGTTTTTTTGGTTGTTTGTGTTTGTTTTTTGTTTTTGTTTTTGTTTTTTTTTAAAGAGTGCTAAGTTGGGTGGCTCCAATTCTGCACTCAATTATTGGGTTGCACTCCGGCTGTGGCAATCCCTTCTACCAGGTAAAACCACCGGGACCAGCCTGAATTAAGCCAGATTCCACTGAAATGCTGCAGTTCTACTGAAAACCAAGGCATCAGATGGATTTTAGATTTGAAATGACCAGCCACCATAGCTCTTCAGTAGGATTAGCACATTCATAAACCCGGGGTTAGGGTAGAAGTGAAGATTCTGTTCCTCCCAGTTATCTGCCAGGTAGAGCCCTCTAGTGCCTAGTGTGGATCCAGCACCCACCAGCAAGTTCTGCCCTCCCAAACACCAACCCAAACCCTCTTTGGACCCTACAGCTACAGCCACACCGAGGGTTTTTGCCAGAAGGGCTGGATGATCCACGAAAATTTCCATAACGGCTACGTTTTTGGAGGGAGGTGGAAGGATGTCTCCTCCCCAACCAGCTCCTATATCCAAAGGAGGACTCGGACAACCTTGCTGAACTCAAAAGCTGGACAGAACAACACAGACTCACAACGCAGGGCTTGCAGACCTCAATTTTCAAAGAAAGAAATGGAAAGAGCATATTCAAGTTCTGCATGACTACCCTTTAGTGTCTCTACGCTGTGCAGAGAACCAAGGTGACAAAGATAAGCAGGCAGGTTTGTCCACTGTTCTCTTGAACTTTCAGCAGAGAAGGCAGCGCGAAGGCTTTTCAAAAGTCATCATCCACCCATGCAACAGGGCTATACGTTAAGTGTTTTAATAGAAAACAGTTCTCTCAAAACAAACCGTTCCCCCCACCCCACTGAGAAACAACTGAAAGTGTGATCTTACCCTAGAAAAATCAAAGTGTGGCTCATACTGCCCTCCCATTCCATAGTTGGCCACCTACAGTGTGGAAGAAGAAAGCATAAGCATCCATTGAACTGCAAGCGACTGCTGCAGAAGGTAACGCTCACTCTTAAATCCAAGACGTGCTTTGAGAAACAGCACTCTGTGGCAAGACTTATCTACAGCACAGTTTATTTCTTTTTATATTGCCAGAAATGAGGTATGCAGAGGAGAAAAAAAAAATATTAAGTGCCCCTTTCTTTTCATAGTTTAAGGGTTTTGCTGAGAATATTTCTCGGGGCCAAACGTTTCTCAAGGGCAGTACTCTACTGATCACTACAAAACCCTGTTTAACATGAATTAGCAGCAATATATTTACCACTCTTGCTCCCTCCTCTGAAGAGGGAGCTGTGTACACAGTTCTCTAGTACGTGCGTCCAAACTAGGAGACTGACGCAGATTCTGTGTTACATATGTACAATCCGTTATAGACACGTCCATCCCGGAACACGGAAGGCTCAAAGAAGCTTAAAAGCATCACTTTGCTTAATCTGAGGATCACATAACATCCAATTTTAGTTACTCTGAGGCTGCACTTAACATGTCTCCGAGATAACTGCACCTGGTTTCTGTGGATAGCCAGTACTAGCAGTACTTCAATCAGGCTCTAAACAGGAATTCAAGGAGCACGGAGGAAGAGAAGCAGTAAATAGGCTAAAGTACAGCTATTCTGGCAGTGCTGTCCCACTCACCTGCCTCTCCCCAACAGACAGCCAAAGATCAGAATTCACATGAGAATACAGCAGGGCTATGAGAAGTATGAGTCTTTCAAAGGTTCAGCTAGGAAGGAAGCTCAAGTTTTGCAAACTTGAAAAGAAGCAGTGGGCATTTCCCCTCAAAATAAACTGGTAAATCAGATTCCTGAATAGTTATCTTTTATTTCTTTGATATCTCCACCCTTCTCTGCCTGGCGCATAAAGGGAAAGCATCTACCTGCCAGATCCTTCCCAGCAGCAGCTGGGAACAGCCCACACTCCTCAAACATCTTAAGTTAACTACCCTGTGTGCAGAGTCAGACAACAGAACCCCTACGAGGGGTTGCCTAAGAGCCAGACTAGGTTTATATCTGCATAAGCACCAGATCACCCTGACCAGCAGCTTATTTTACCAGGATGAACTCAGACAAGTGCACCAACCTGCAATAGTTCAGCTGTTTTCACTGTTAACCCAGTGATCTGCTGCATTCGTTGATTCACCTTGGCTACAACAGGATCATCATCTTCCTCCAACCATGAGCTGGCAGAAAGGAAGGATTGAAACATGTTATTTTAGAATACCAACCACAAGCACCCGTACCCCGAGGCAGAAGGATTGTTCTGCCCTCAGTCAGATGGCTAAAAGCCATTTATCACGCATTTGTTGTGCAAGCTTTTGCTACATGCAAAGCAGTTCCAAGTTTTCAGTTGTAGGTAGCAGATGACAGCTGTTAAGCACAAAACCCTTAAAGCTAAACTCTTCTCCGGGCTTACCTTTTTGATACCCTGTAGCTAGCCACTGTAAGGACACCGGTTTTGGGATCACGTACTGTGGCTCGTGCCAGCTGTGTCAAAAAAATCCCAAGCGGGAAGAAACACATCAACTACAGGTTAGAAAAAAAAAATAATTTCTCTCATCTTAACCAAAATCAACACCTGATTTGTCCAACTTCGATATATCACTGGATGAAAGTTACAGCTCCAAACTCACGTTTCAGTTTCATGCTAGAACAGTACATGCAGAAATACAAGTGCAATCCATCACCTACATTTGATCCTGGAAAGAGTCTGACTGCACAAGCCATGATATTTATTAAATCCATGAGTACTGCTTACTGAACAGGTTTAGAAAAAAGGTTTGGGTTTTTTTTTTTTTTCAACAGCTGGAGTCAACATTAGCAAGAGAGAACAAAAACAAAAGTTAACAACTGATGAAGCCCAAGTTCTTGGCAAAGAGAAAAATCATTGGATACTCTGTAAATTTAATCATCCTGCTCCTTATGTGAACTGAAAAAACCCAACCTCATTCTCAGATGAAAAACAAGTGAAAACTTTTATAGGATGAGTTACAAATTACAGGGCAGGCAAATGCAGTGGTAGAAAACTCCTGAGGACAACTCTCAGCGTTACCATACTCAGATTTTCCAGTTGGAAGATGCCTGGAACGTCTAATTCAGAGACAGTTTGAGATATGTTATTACCTTACGAAGGTAACTCTGCAAAAACACAGCTCACCTACACATTTTAAACAGCGAGTAACACATCCCCAAATCTGTTGGAAAAAATCTGGAAGTTGGCAAAGCTGCTCAGGTTTGCTGTGGGGTCAGCAATAGACTCCTACCAGTGTGGCACAACCGGTCGCTTTGGTTTTATACACGCGGCTGAGAACAAGAACTGGGATGCTCCTTTGTTTGACTAAACTCAGACCACATTTAAATTTAACTCCTACAAACCACAAATACTTCAAGTCATGCCTCCTTCCTTCTACTTAATTACAGGTCACAGAAAGCCTTTTTATTTGCATTTTCTTCGGAGCATGCAGTCATTATTTCCTTCATTTTTCCTCAAATAAGTCTCCAGCCAGCTTTACAATCCATGTCAGCTGTCTTGTCCCTATACAAGAGTCCTTGGCACAGCTGTTGCTGTAATTCTGACTCACTGTTATTTTGTTCTAGATTTCTCCTGCATAAATCACGACAGAAGAGCCAGGCTGACTGGATGTTGTTCTTCACTTGTGCAATGAAGCATAGCTTTAGGGATATAATTTAGCTTCCCAAACTTTTCATTCTGCTGCCACTTTCAAGCTTGTGTACGCTTGCTTGATTTCTGCACCTAGCATTTGAGCTAAATAAATCTGAACTAAAATAAGCCTGACTACATTCATATAATTCCATAACTCCTCTTTCTGATAGACAGGCTTCTTCATTTAAGACATATAATCTATACCCCACTTGGTCTAAGCAGCTGATACACGAGGCTCCCTCTCTCAGGGTGAGAAGGCAGCCATATAATAGGCATTTGCTAGGCTTTGAAGAATCCTAACACACTGCATTGGTCAGAAGCTTCCTCCAGTCTTCCTCTTAGAGCCTGCATTTAGTTGGCTTTTCCTTCTGAAGTTCTGCATTGCTGAAATCTTATAGCACTGAATCCAAAGACACTAATTTGTCCCCCTCCACACCACATTTCTGCCTGTTCAGGCATGCCTGTATCACAGGTAACATCCAGAATTTTGGGAACAAGCTTCTCTTACTTTCACAGTAGACCTGTCCCAATACTATCCACACCAATAAAGCTAAAAGTTATCTTGACCCCTTCCCAGTCAGCTCTGATGTATTGCCTGAGAAGTTGGAACTACTTTCTGGAACAGGAGTGAAAGTGATTGCATTTTGCAAAACAAGCATGAAAAGCAGCTTGAATACAGCTCCTCTCAATCACGTACAGATGTTGTTTCTCTACAGAACAAAAAAGTATTGGCAAGTGTAAACTGCAGATAATGTTGAAGTGCTTGGACCCAAAAGTAGAAATTTCTTGCAAATTCATTTTAGAACAAAGGAAGCACTCATCTTTGAGCCCAAAACCAACATACAACTTCAGAGTTCTCTCTGAAAGCTTCCATGATTATAAACTAGAATTTCCTGATTGAAATTAAGCTATAATTATTAAGGACCATCTTATCACAGGATTTATTTTCCATTCTTTCAGTAGGACCGCAGTAGAACTTAAAGCTGTTCCTACAGATGAGCTATAGACAGGTTTAGCAAAAACAAGAAAGTGGTTGGTTTTTTGAATTGAAAACTTTCATCTGAATCTTAAGACTACAGTTTTTACCCTCTTACAGGGACAGATCCCAGTTCTACACTCCACAGATTATACAAAGAATTCCTCTGACATTAGTAATAGACACAACTCAGTGAGCAAGAGTTAAGACTTTCCATAAAACTCTGAACAAAAAGGGAAAACCAAGCAAAAAAGAAAGCTGCCTTATTCAGAATGTGCTTGATTTGATAAAGTAGATTAAGTGATATGCTCTATTTGAAAGTTTCCATTTTATCTGAAGCTCCTGAAGTTTTATAGTATGATGTAATAGGGAAAAGTCTCCATTTATGGAGGTGGGAGTCCTCTCAGACACGAGTGTTCTGCCAACACTCCCATAGCTGGCTGGAAATCCTAGAAGTCCAGTTGCACAAACATCCCCAATTATTAATGTGCTCAGGAAGCACCAGTTTCTCAGTCTGTTTTTAACTATTTATCCTTCTAAATGGAAACACACACAGAAGGGTACTTCCCGACTGGAATTTTAGTACCACATTTCATAGTAGTAGCAAGAAGAGTGCTGAAATGAACCATTCATCTATAAAAACAGAAGTGGTTTGGTTTTACATGCTTGACAGACCTAACAGAAAAGTGTAGCATTTACTACTGACCTCACACTGCCATCCTTCTGGCAGAAAGGAACAGGAAATTTTACCTCCAGAAAAAAAAAATCAGATGAGATAATTACTATCTTTACATTAGGTGGCTGCTTTTTTATTGTGTGCAGAGTCACTAGAATTGACGCCATGGGCAACAGGTATCGCACCAAGACTAGAATTCTCACTCAAAGCTGCTGCCTTCAAGCTGGATCCACCCTCGGCACACTGAAGCCGTCACATCTGTTTCTCTGCTGCTAGACAGCTGTCTAGGTGGAAGAGTCAGATCTAAAGTGCTCTGGGAGAATGACTGCATTGTGCATTCATCCCTACGAGTCCTCCAACCTTCCCCAGTCCCAGATGGGGAATTACTTCGGAGCACAAATGATTTCTCCACTCTGTGTTAACTGCATCGCATTATTCCCAAGGAGCTGTGCGTGGCTGCAGGAGAACACCGTGGTTCCACTCGAGGATGCACTGTGGCACTTAAAGCACCTCTCTGCAGGTCTAGACTACAGTTTAAAACAGAAGCAGAGGATTCGAGGTTACCCAAAGTAATAAAAACAAACCTCTAAGATATTCTGCTGGCCCAACTTTAAAGACCCCGTTGTTTCTTCACACTTCTGTTGTGATTTGGGCTTTTTAAATTTTGGTTCAAAGTTCAGCTCCATCTCAAAAGGCAGACTTAAAAGTACATTGGACACCTACTCCTATCACTCAGCCAGTCAGTCATCTACCTTTTCAGGTCTAGTCCCTAGTTTCCTAGAAGGTTTCTAAGCCATTTACTGAGAACTTTGCATAATTAAGTGCAACAATGCATAAATACCTTCAGGAGCCTGGGCTTTATGGTCCTACATCACCAGGCAGTTTCGAAATCGTTCCCCTGAGGCTCACAGCTGCAGTGTATCATCTGTAGTATGAAACCAGATCTTTCAAATCCTTCGCCTAGTCTTTGCTAATAGAGATTAAAGCATGGAATTAGCAGTCATTAGCGAGATGGAAGAGGGGAAGCTTACCCTTGGCTTAGCTAGCTGTTTAATTTTCTCAATTTCTTCATCAGACATGACTTCATAGTATCGTACAATATGAGGGCTGTCCCATTCATCTTCCTCCTTGAAGGGAGCTATGAGCAGATGAGGGTTTCTGTTTCCATCGTGGTACCTACAAAACAGCCTTTTTTGTCTTCGAGGTGTCTGAAACAAAACACCAAACAAAACGTCGTTTGCTCAACCAATTGTCATGAAATTAAGAGGCAAGACAAAAATCCAAATGGGCTTCATTCCACAAAGACCAGAAAAGCCCTCAGCTGACTAGCAGGTTTAAGAGGTAAGCATGAGGGATTCTGCAATTTACTGCAAATAGAACCACCTCAGTGTATGCCACTCGAGATCCCACTGAGCAACATCTGAAACACTAACCTTCAGAAGAATTAAATCACAATAGGTTACAGATTAAGCAAGTGACTACACAAACAGCAAGCCATAAAAAAAAAAGTCTGGTGGTTATAATTAAGACTATGCAGATGGAACAAATGTGTTCCTTTCCCTGCACTGATAATTAAAGCCATGTTTGTTGAGAGGTACTGGGGACTGGTTGGTCAAAATCACCTCAGAAGGACATGTCTACACTGCAAAAAGGGATGGAATAATGCAATTCCAGCAGCGTGGCAAAGCATTACCAGCTCCCAGTGGAAAAAGCCTCCTAGTACAGCTGCACAGTCAGCATTTGAAATGGCTGAGGAGAATCAATTTTCAGCAACTTTTAAGAAGTATAGTTGAGAGCTCGTTTTCTGTCTAGGACTAACAGCTGGAGAGGCCAGAACAGAAGGGTATAAATCTCAGCCTGGACAGACCTACATTTAAATTTTTTCTTTAAAAAAAAAAATCTTTGCAGAAGGCAAAACTTATCACCTCCCAGCAAGCTTGATCACCCTCACATAAAGGCAGCACAGTCAGGAGAGTCTTTGCCTTCCTCTTACCATTTTTACCCCTTCACCTCTGCAAAGGGCCTCATAGATGTCACGTTCTGGCAAATAGTCAAGAGGCCTCTCGTAGGCACCACTTTGCACCACTGGTTCTGTCGTTGTGTTGGTCTTGTTCACTGATTTCTCTTTCTCCTCTTCCTCTCTCTCCTTCTCCACCAACTTCTCAAAGTACCGCAGATTACTGCCTGCTCTCTCATGAGCACTGTCTTTGAGAGAAGAACAGACAGAACCAGTGATTTATGCAATCGCAGGAACTGTTAATACAGACAAGTCTTTGTATCACAGCAATAATCCTCCCTTTCCTAAAGCATTATCAGCAACCAAAGGCACCGGCTTTAGTCCGCACTGAAAACCAGTGCTGAGAAGTTTGTCTTTGCAGGAAGACAGAATTGTTTCTGGAAGGACCCATCACAAAACTTGTTTTTCAGTAAAAAAAGCATAGGAGTTTTTGGTCTTCATATCCATCCTTTTCTCTCAACTTTGCTAGCCAGCTCTACCCAAGATAAGCAGATCACAGAGCTCATCAGCAGAAATCCAGTTAGTCCACCTGTTGCACCCCTCCTCTCCACCATGCTCCTCATCCACACGCTTTAACCACGGGCTGCAGTGACGTCCCAGCCACAGACTTCAGTCCCAAAGGCTTTCTCCAAAGTTGGGAAGCTCAGAGGTGTGTGTCACTACCTCACAGCCCATCTAGACATCTAGAACAGAGGTATCCTGGATCACTAGTGGCATTGGACTTATCATTAGTGATTTATTAATCCCAGAATCATCTTGGTTGGAAAAGACCTTGAAGATCATCTAGTCCAACCATTAACCTAACACTGACCATTCTCAAAACTAATGATGAATTGATAAGCATCAACAGACCTCTACCCAGCATAATCAGAAACAGTTTCCTGTTCACCCCAAAGTGTTCCTGGACACTAGCACCTAGAGCAGTTTCTTCCCCTTCTGACCTTCCCAAGCTTATTGTGCTTATCTTATTTAATCAAGCCAGAAGGCCACAGAAGTCATTAGAGCACAGGCTAATAGTGGCCAGAGAAGAAACCTGAGTCCAGAGCAGAGGAAGCTGCTGCTCCCAGAGGGAACTGCCAAATCTGTTCTACTGCTTAGTGCTGATAGGATCTGCCTTCTGCTATCAGTACTAAACCCTGTTATTGCAGAGGGAGCTAGATTCAACACATTCATATTGTCAAAATTTTTAATCTATGAATTTTAACATCTGCAGAAACTACACTGATACATATTTTTCAATGGAAAAGCTTCACCCACTCTCAGGATGCAGCTAACATCTAAGAATTATCAACACTGAAAAAAACCATACAAATACATACACAGTAAATGTTAATTCTAATTGGAGAGGATAAACCTTTCCAATGCAGGAAGTAGGCAAAGCTGCACAGGAAGCTATGCTTATTCATTTAAGTCAGAAACAGATCAGAGATAAACAGATTTTTAAGAAACTCAATCTGTTCTGAATATTCAGAAATAAATGCTTTAATCTCCGGCAAAGTATTCTTCTGGCATCAGAGTACCTGTACTGAGGAGTAAAGAGGAATACATGAAGCCTGGAGGACTCTACAGAAGATAGAGCACTCTGCCTAAGTCCATGGTAGCCTTGATCTCCAGCTGAGACAACCCAGCTTTAACCATCACCAAACACAACATCTACACTGGCTGAAGCAAAGCACACAAGTACTGCAGTCAGACACACATTTGGTCTTTGGGTAGTAACAGCACAGACTGTAAGACAGCTTGTTAAAGATATTTCATGTATAAGTAGAGGTTTTTATTCCAGGACCTATGTTTATTGGAAGGCACCTGGCAGGAGATCCTTCCAGTCAGCTCACAGTACGTACGGGCCATGACTGTTCCTGGCTCTGCTGCTTGCAACACTCCCCAGCGCTAGAATTGTGGGGTTTTTGTTCTTACCGAGGGATATCAGACGTCTGGTAAGCTCCATGGCTCTGTGTAAATCCCCAAATTGGAAAACAGCATAGCTGAGATAATCTAGGATCTCTACTTTGCTGACTGTTGTATCCTCCCCCTCGTCGTGTTGTTTTAAGGCTTGCTCCATCCAGAGCACGGTGTGATAGTAGTCTCCATCATTGTAAGCGGTCTTCCCCATACCAAAGCAGTCACCTACTGTCAAAGAGGATCTATATTTTGTCCCTAAAACAAACAAAAAAGCTTTAAACAATGCACACAGAAGCATCCTTGCCTTCAAATACATAGGGCACAGTAAGGAGTATGTGTAAATACACACTTTTATCATCCAAAAAAGTTTCTAAAAGACAATGCTTTGACAATATTTTAGGTTCTGTACTAAACTGATCACCTTCAGAATTAAGGATTAAACTCTATCCCAATTCTGCGGCATTAATTCCTTTGGAAACCAACAGAAGTTCAACATAGAAATTACAGTGTTAAGCTCTTGTGTTTTCTGCTGCAGACAAAGGCAGAGCAGGCTAACAGCTTAACAAATTTTCCTGAACCTACAAATTAACACTGTTAAATGATCAGAGAAGCCTGACTACGCAGAGCTAGCTTGTTTGCTCTTTACTAGAGATGTGTATTTGTACGCAAGCAAGCTGATTGTTATTTAGACAAATTGGGCATCCATTTGACTATCTGTGCACTGATTTCCACTTACTCCAGCTCAGCAGATGCACAGATAAGACTTAATTTTAAATTCACTGTCAATAACCTACATATAATAATGAAAAGTGTTTCATCAGCTCATCTACTCACACTCTAATGAAGCCTATTCAGTTTGTAAACAGTGTGTTGCTAGCAACCATAGCCAGTGTCAGTAAGTCTCACAAAAGTATCAGCAAACATTTATCAGGACTCAGCTGCCAAAACACTGAAGCATCCCAATATATCTATGTACTTACCAAAACATTTGTGGCAAAAACTTAGTCCCCATTTCAGAGAAAGAACAGGGGCAAAGTGATTCAACCAAAGCCTCGTGGAAAGACCAGAGCAAACAAGACAAAAGTCAAGGTTTGTGAGAGCCACCACAGCAAAGAATTATGGAGCAGCTCCTTCCCTTGGTCCATAACTTATCAGGGACAGAAGTACCCAGAGTATTTGCTTACACAGGAACCTGCACAAGAAGTCTGTTGCCCTTTGTGGTTTTAGTGTAGTGATTGTAAAAAAAAAAAATTAAAAAAATCAGCATTTTCTTTTAAATTAATACTAATTAAAAATGCTAACTGAGCTGGCCACTGCAGGCCACAGTGCCATGGCTTGGTTGGGAACAACCTCAAATTTGTTCTCAAAGTGACAAAGTAAATATATCCTCGAGCATCTAAGCTGCACAGACTGTCAGCACCATGGTCCTGCTCTGCTATTGGAAAAGGGCTTTTGGAGAGAGTTTGAGGACGTTACTACCTCCTTCCTTTTAAAGGACGGGAGAGCTTTGTGCACTTACCAGGTAAATCTCCTCGAGATAGAGTTTCAGGATCCAGTTTGTACGTGTCCTGCAGGCGCATCAGAGCCTTCGCAGCTCCAGTCTCGTCTTCTTCAGTTGGAAAAAACTGGCGCTGAATTGTAAGATTTGCAATAAAGCCTTTGCAGTAAAAGGGAAAGATGTTACTTCCAAAGTTTGAATAAATACCAGTACCAGATTAACACAGAAGAGGAAACATCTGCTTTGTTTTGGGAATTAAGATTCAAATGATCCAGATTTAAAGCCTCTTATTAGGCTCTCAAGTTATAAAAACATTGTTTTCTCCCATTTTAAGGAACGCTGCACAAAACCAAAAGATACAGGACAAATAATTAAAACCCTCCGTTTTCTTGTGCCAAACAATTACTAAAGTACAACGTGAATCTAGTGATCTTTGTTCTCCTGCAATGTCTCTTTCTAGCATGAAAACTTTAAAGCTTTCTTCAGTTCTCCTGCAATATCCCCAGAGACAACTGCAGATCACAGCACTGGACAACAAATTCAGACTCTGTACTTCAAGCTGAGAAGCTGTAAGAGCTTTTCAAATCCCAGCCCAAGGACAGAGACCCTGATCCAGGATCCCTTAAGTAAGTGTAGGGCCTTCCTCAGTAAGAGGCTTTTAAACCCAACAAGTAAGATCAGGGGACATCTAGAAATCAAGTTACATGCGCTACACAAACATATCAAGGTTACACAGCAGGTTGGTCAGGCAGAAGCAGGGGCAATCAACTGAAGGCAAACCACCCAGCCAACTCGTCCTGCACAAGCAGAACTGGAAAAGGAAGCCTTTAGAAAAAGAATTAATGACAAAAGTACTCAGTAAAATTGAGTATTTTATTTCCATCTGTGATGACTATTCCAAAAGGTAATAAAAATCTTGGCTGGAAAAAGCTTCCAAGTATCTAAGCTTCAGCATATGCAGAATAGAAAGGGAAAACATGCAGTGTTCTGCCTGAAAAACACAGCCTCTTCTGCCTTACTTTCAAAGGGTCCAGTAAAAATAAACCTACATTTTTAAAAAATTAAGCTATGGAAGCAAATTCGGGCAGACACTTTGACAATGACGCAAAAGCAAAGATTAGTACTGGAAACATTTGATTTTTTTAAAAAAAAGAGAGATTTACAGATAGCCACTGTGTATTACCCTGTTATCAGACTGACTGCAACATCTGCCAACTGTTCATGCTGGGGCTGGTATCAAATCCCTCACCAGTTGTGTATGGGTCTTATTTTGACTCTTAAATCTTATCTGCTGATCAACGTGGTCAAAAAAACAATGATCACCAAGACAAGCAGCAGACTGGGAAAGCAGAAAAGTAAGTTTTCATAGAAAGGAACATAAAGCTCAAGACCAAGCCTAAAACAATAGTTGCCAACACAGCTGCTAACTTTATATCCTATTGTGCTGTTTGGGGCAAAAGTGACAAGTCAAAAGATAACAGGGCTAAGCCAGGCAAGAGCTTAAGTCTTGACTGAGATGTGTTTCAGTAGCAAGTTTCTGTCACTTGGGTAACCAGTAAACAAGAGGTCAGCTATTGGTTTAATTTTCAAACAAACTCGGCAATAATATTTAAACCACAGCTGAGTGTGCAACTCTCCAGACTAGAAGGAGGATAAGCAACTGTGTTGTAAGGCCACCTCCTGTTCTCTCCTCCCCTGTAGCGCCTTACCGTTTGTGGTATCCTGAAGAACCAGGTTTTCCAATTCCAGCCAGTCAGTATTTAAGCGCTTCACCAGCTTATACGCATTTACGGGATGTGCTAGGTACCCTTCCGGATCAGAGGTTGATTTGCTAGTCAGTACCTCCATTTTTTCAGCCCAGCTGGAACAAGAAGCATATGCCTCAGTCTGACAACAGTTTACAAACACATGTCTTCCTGCTTAAGTCACCCTAATGACACAGCTAGAATCAATTTATTGCTGCTTTCACCATCATAACCAGCTTTCAACTTCAAGGATAAAGTACAACTGATTTTTTTTTAATAGTCTTTATATGGATTTTGTTTCTCTGCTTTCTATTTTAAACCTTACGACAGCAGGCATGCGTCTCACTTGTAACGAGTCTTAGCCATAGATTTTCAGCATACTGCACTTCAGAAAATAATGATATATAGCGCACAATCACGGCGAGTGTCATTTATCTATCTTTTTAGACAAGCATAAATATAACCCAAGAGTTTTTCAGTTTTAGGGTAACTAAAGCATAAGCCTGGATTTTCAGACTGGAAGCCCTCAGTACCATGGCAGTGCTCTCAGTCACCCAGACTGCAGCCAGTCAGCTTCCCAGCAGCAGGGGGAAGCTTCCTCCTCTGGTTCACTGCATTTGAACTGCCAGCTACGCTGTTGATGCTACAGTGACAATTTCTTCTGTTGTCCTTCATATGATCCCTTGACACAAACGTCTGGCCCAACTGCATGTTCCTCTCTCCAGCACTCAACAGGAAGAAAGCACTCAGCTAAACTAATAATAAAAATAATTACAATAATATGGCTTTTCCAGAGATCCTTTGCAGGGATATCAGATTAACAACATACATTAAAACCAGTCTCACCTGCACTCCCTTTTTAATTGAGACTTTCACTACTTCTAATATTTATTTTGCAAAGCAGTAAATACTGTCAAGTTCTAGACTCTATGCACATCACAGTGTGCTTCCGAATCATAAACATATCTCTAGAACTAAGAGACAAACTACTGAAAAGTGTTACCACATTCCAATGATAACATTTGGCACCTCTGCTGCAAAGCATATGCCTCATACACTAGCAGGACACGAGGGCTCAAATACTGGCACAGTGGCAGAATACTCTTGCTTACAAATACAGCAAAATACGAGTCAAGTGAAAATTTAACAAATTAAAAAAGCACTTGCACATGTCAGTCCATAAAAAAAAGAGACTTGTTCATACATCGATTGAACTGACACACTAACAATACTTGGAGACTGCTTTTCCTCTGAAGGGCAGCTTTTCAAGAAATGAACATTTATGCATAGAAGTGACAAGGCATCCCTATTATTTCACCACTCCACAGCCCCATCCGCATCCTACACCCCCAAAGGGAGATCAAGCTGCCACATATAGCCTGGAGTTAAGAAATTCTTTGGAAAGCATAGCTCCATTTAGAGGCACTCAGCATTTCTGAACCTGGACTTCATTTAGACTATTCTAGGGTCACACCCTATTAGATATTACTTCCATCTAGATAAGTATTAACAGTCTTAAGGGACACAGAAAACATCAGTTGTCAGCCTGTCAAATGATCTAAGCTGTTGGGACAAGGTCCGAGATGTGCTGTAGCCAGGTTGACAACTGAAGAGGAGGAAGGAGAACTGTCCCTGAGGGCAGAGCCAACATGAGAAGGAAGCTGGGGATTGGCGTGTGCTCTGCTAAACAGTGACCTGGTGCTGTGGCACGGGTAGCACAGAGCACTGGCACCCAGAGGCATTTCACTCGTAGGAACAAGGCTCCTATGACACAAGTAGTGTCTTCTCCACAGAGGCACAGGGATGGCGTAAGGACAGGGAAAAGTGGGAAGCACCCAGCAGACAACAGTTTCTAAACAAGCAGAGAAAACCTGAACAATGCCTCAAGCAGGGCCAGCTCTCCGCAGGTTTATGAGAACAAATTCCAACCACATTAGTACCTGTGGTCTCATGGTGATTATCTACTGAGGAAATGCTGCCAGGATCTAACAGCAAAGAGCCTTGACAGGAAGGTGTGGCGTAACTCAACACAACAGATCAGCCGCTCTGTCACCCTTCGTGATACAAACCTCTCCTCCCACCCCCTACCTTTTAATCTGAGCGAGCTTGCTCTCTTCTGCTCGGATATATTCCTTTAAAGACTGTACCAAGTCTTTCTCTGCGTAAATCAGGTCTGTCATTTGACCTAAAAACAGAGTTTGACAAGTGTTAATCAGACCTTAAAAAGTAACAGTTTCCAACAGCAGACAGACCTCAGATGCTCTGGGGCTATTAAAACAATTAAGGGCACACACTTCTACGCCTGTAAACCAGAAAAGCTGTCGTACATACAGGCCTGGCATTCAGACTCTTCAAGGGGCTTTTAAAATCCCCACTTCAGTTTTGCTGTGACCCCTCCGTTGCCTCTGAATTACTTTTAGTATTACAATTATACGCAAGACACTCAGAAGAAGGGTTCGACATTAATACAGCTATTGAGTCAAAGCAAGAAAAAGATCCAGATAGTTGCCAAAGCATCTGTTCTGCATGTGGATCCAGATTAGGTCACACTAAGAAATTACTGGCCTAACCATTGGCATCACTTAAAGTTACAGCTTTTCAATATGGGTAACCATGGAAACACAACCTATTATTAACTACAGAGGAATTTCAGACTAAATGTTTATAGACTGACACACACACTCTCTCTTTCCTGATGAGCATTAGTGGAAGTTGTGCTAGCATGTCAGTCCTAATTGCTGCGACAAACTTCACTTTTCGAAGACCAAACACTGAAAGACCAGATGAACTTTACAAATACAGCCACAGCTTTAGTTTCAGCATTCCAAAGTAATTATTAATGAGGCATGATTAAGTAGATGGAAGTCAGCAGGTTGTGCTATTTTCAGAGTCAGGAGAGGTTCAGGAATAAGTAAGCATAAAGAAAAGGTGATCTTTCACAGTGACCTTGCACAAAAAAGCTGTTTAACTTCAGAAAAAGAAACGAAATAATACATCTGTATTGAAACACTGTTTAGCCAACTCCAGAGCACGGGAGCACGTGCTGGAGGTTGGTTGTGAAACACCACTCTGCCTTGCTCTGGCTGAGCAGTTCCAGTGGTGCAAGATAAACCACTGCGAGGTCTATCATTCAGAAACACAGCCCCAGTGAGCTCGAGGCATGTTCTGGAGAACAGCCAGTTAGAGCTAATCAGCCTCTGTTATCCTTACAGGGGTAAATTCCTCACACTATTCCACAGGAGAATATTAGACCAAGTCAGAGCAGAAAATTCGGTTTGTGCTTATTTTTTTGGCTCTGCCACAATCATACATGGTTGTATTATGGCTATTAGAACACAAGAATTAAACTGTCATTAAAAAAAAAAAATCAATCTATTTTCAGGATTTATAACACTGTAAATTCTTCAGGATTTACTCAGGTCTTTCAAAACACACATAAGGTAAGGGGGATATTAATTGTTCCTTCTGATAACTACCTCCAGGTTTTTAAGACAGGCGATTTCAGGTTCTGTGAAAGAAAATATTTCACATTTTTATCACTTAAATTCTCTTCATATATCATAAAGTCAGGACTACATTTTTTAAGCATAAAGTTTGTGTTGTGTTCAAGACTACAGCAGTTGCACAATTCTTAATAAAACACAGGCACCGTCTTACTTTACTGACCGAGCCCCCAAACTTGTATCATGCTGTTCACAATGCACCAAGTCACCCAACAAACTGCACTGACACAAGACTTGCAATGCAGAAGAGCATCAGGAACATGGAGGAGTAACTCTTCCTACTGCAGACAGTGATTGAAAGGGCCATATGAAGAAAGCCATATGCTTCAACTGTAAACTTTAACAGTTTACAATCACATTAACTCCATCACAACACCATGCACTGGTTCCTTCCATACCTATGGAGGTGAAGAACTCTGCTTCTGTGTGCCAGATCAAGAAAATACAGGTAACGAACAACTGCAGCCAGGGCTTCATCTTCCAGATAGCTCAAACCTGTAACAGATTAAAAGGAAAATGAGGAAAAAAATATTAACTTATTTGTGAGGAAAAAAACTCAAGTCATTAATCTTCATCTTCAGTCATTCCACCCTCATGAAAATTATTTAGATCCTTGAAACACTGAATTCTAATAAGTAAAGCTTGAAAAAAAAGACTTTTTCAACCACAGAAGCTGTTATATAACGGTCTCAAATGCTATCTGGTATATTCTTTGGGATTTACAGGGAGGACACTGCAGTCCACGGAAGGCCCAGATGACAGAAGTAATGGAAGCAACATATCTGTCCACAGAGACAGTGAGAACAAGATCTTCTGCAAGGGCAGCTCAATGCCTTCCACCTCAGGCATAATTACAGCTGGAAAATAGGAGAGTATACAAAGCTGCATTATATTCCAATAATAACAGAAGCCTAAATTAAATGGTCAGACTTGTCAAACTCAGTTATATAAAAACTGTCTAGAAATACAAATAGTGAGAAAGCCAAATAGAGAAATACAGATTTCTGTAGCGTGGAGGTGGCAGCGACGGTTGGAAAAGTTGAAAGTGAAATTTCCAACTCTGCTTATTCACCATGCCTCCGGGCACAGCCTGTATGACTTCTGTATTTCAAAGGCTGCCACAGCTTAGAGACCCAGCTCCTCCAGACGGAGGCTGAAGGCAGACTGTCACATCTCTAAGGGCACAGCCCAACGGGGGCACGGAGGGGAAAGCCAGTCTGAGCCCACAGATAAGCAAGGAGAGGCAAGGTCTGTAGAGAGGATCCTCCTGGGAGCTGTAATTCTCCTGGTAGATCTGACAGCCAGGGCTGCCTCTTCCAGGAAATTTATGAGGAGCCTGTGCTGCTCTGGGATCAGCCCACAGCTCACCCCAGAGCCGCCTGTTCACCGAGCTGTCACGTACAAGGACTGCTGCTCAGCAGACCCGGAGCTCAGCACCCACGCAGCGTCAAAAGGAATATGACTGCTCACCTTAATCCAAGGAGCAATTCTTTTTTCCTACCCCTTCTAACTGGGTAAATTGGTGGCTGGAAGTCACCGCTTGCAACTCACTCTTACACCAAATACATTAAATACCATGCAGCTATTTGGGGCAAAACAAAATCACTTAAATCTGATAAGAAAGGGGGATAGAAGGGAGAAGGGAAAATACATGGAACACCCTAAAATTTCAAGCAATACAGCAAGTGGGAAGGTATTAATAAAATAATTCTGGAACAACTCTAGCTCCTTGCTCCCTTGAGCTCCACATACCTGCCTGCCCAACACAAGGTGGGTATTGCCTTTCCCTTCTGGGTTTTTTTCAAGCGAACAGCATGACAGAAACCCTCAGCTGAGCTCACCAGCGGGTGCCAGGGGCATAAACACCAACCACACCGCCAGTAATGCTGCCATCCCTACGAACATCAGAAGTAGCTCTGTTCTCTGCTGTGTATTATCACATGGCAAGATGATTGGTTTTAAATTATCCTTCTGATTACTTTAAAAGACTACATGAGGAATCAGAAACATTAACCACAACAGTTTGCAAGCATGAGTAAGCAGGAAAATGTCTCACAGCATCATAATAAGTCTTCTCCTTTCCCTCTTCTGTTTCTCACCCCCCTGCAAACCACATATTCCCAGACTGCTTGTTTTAAGTTAGTTCAGACCTAGTACATGGGTAATCTGAGAATTGAGCAAAGCTGAATGAATAGTACCATGCAGAGGTCTGCCAATACTAAAAGCCACAGTAAGCGATGCAGCAGAGAGCACAGCAAGTCAAAAGCACTTGGGAAGCACATTAATTTGGATATATTAAGCCACAACCGTCCATCTGCATAGCCTGTCTTTCTTTCACGGAGTGATTTTTTGGATGTGCTACACAAAGCCTGGCAAAACAATTACAAGGGAACTTTCCAGTTAAAACAACACAACTCTACATTCTCCGCCCTGCACCTCCCCACCATGTTCTCTCATGGCTGAGGATATCTGCCAAAAACACTACAGCTAGCAGCTTGTCTTTATTGCAGATCTTTAACAGCTTTGCCATCCTACTCAGATTCACTTAAGTCAATAAACAGAAACCTCAGTAAACAGAGAAATCAGCTCTTGCTTGAACAAGCAGGACACCTGGCTGCAGGGTGTTTGTACACATTCTTTTCACAGCTGTTACTCAGAAAACCAGCACAAATAATGAATTACAGGAGGCTGAACATAATGTTATAACCACATTCTTGGACAGCACCCGCATGTGTGCGTACATACACGTATGCATGCCCACCCCACCACAGCTAAACCATCTGCTAACAAAGAGGGTAAGAGAGGCAGAAGGGACAATAGCACCTCCCACCTCAATAACCGAGACAAATGTTTATAAAGCCAGTGTGTTTTAGTCAGAGGATGGAAGAACTCCGTTGCATAGAAATACCAGATAAGAAAAGAAGTCTGTAGGACAAATACTGCCTACACTCCTGGCTTTTTTTCAACAGCATCTTCAAATGACATCATGCCAGACAGGTGAATTTCAGATCTCCTTTTATTTAAGTGAGTAGCAAATCCCTCTGCAACAGACTGAGAAGGCTTGAGCAGAACCACTGGGCTCAGCTCAGCCTTGTGCTACAAGAACTCCCCGCGCAGGAAGGGGCAGCAGGCAGCTCACCCTGTCCTCAGCATGGGCTCTACAATGGCCCAGCACAAGCCCACCCTGGCTCATTGGGCTACGTCAAGTGGCATCAGCACAGGGGTCTGGAGGCCACACGTACCTGGAGAAGCTGCCCCAGCAACATTGATAGAACTAAACTCCCTGAAACATGCCCAGCCAGCAGAGCTGAAGCACTGAGCAGATGGATATTGTACAAACACTTTTCTTTAGAGTGTAAGACCTCAATGAATCATTGCTGCCACTGGAAAGAGTGCTGTCAGACTTCAGAGAGTGCTGGCAGAAGGAAAAAAAGGTTCTTCTAGACAAAATAGACCAGGATGGAATTTTTCTTCACGAGTTAAACAGAATTCTTTATTAAATAAACTTTCCAAAAATTCTTAATCAAGAAGATAAATATAAACACATGGACCTGAACTATAAAATAAAAGTTGCTTGCACATCAACCAGGGTTACCAGTTTCTCACCCACTCTGACCTTCATATCTAATCATGGGGGATTCAAGCCAGCTCCCACATGAGCCAAAGGGATGACTTTTTTCAGGTCAGAAGAGGGAAAAAATATCTATTACTCATCCAGTCCCTTTAGGACTCCCACTTCTGAGCAAACTGATAGGCTGCAGTTTGCCTTGCACTCCACAGAACAAGAGCACGACCCTCACAGAGCCTTCCTTTAGACAGAAGGCAGCACATCTACCCACAACTGCTCAAGCTAGAAGGACAAAAAAAGCAGCCCTCTCTCCCCTTCACCCCACAAGTCTCAGCAAGTACCATTTAGCTGGCACAACTGTGTACAAGGGGACTTGATTCGAGCTGTAGCAGCACACAGGATAGGTAACTGGAGATTCGAGTTGCACTATCTCACAGCTCATCATTCATTCTTGTCAGCTTTCCTTCCCAGATAAGGGTGTGCTCAGAAGAACTAAACCCTTCAATTGCTGACCAGCCTAACTAAAAACAGGGACCAACAAAAGCGAGTCCTTCATCCAGGCTCTGAATTTCTACAAGCTTCTTACATAGAATTAAACTGAGTGGAACCAACAGGAGACCAGTCCATGTAATTTAAAGAAGTCACACCCCTTATCATTGCTTATTATGGCAAATCAGGCCAGAATGTGACTCTCGCTGTATTGTGAACACTCACTTTGATCACAGGAACTCCAGAAAAACCCACAGTACTCTTCCACTGCACCACTTAAACATGACAGCACTCCCTTTGCTGTAGGGAGTGCTATTTGCTATATAGTGCTTCTCTACGAGAGGTATGGAACTGGGGTTTGATTTAGCTGCTCCCAGCAAGGTCATCTCTTTCCAAAGACTCAGTGGGGGGGGGAAAAGGTTTCACGGGGTTGTTTTCAGCCCCTGTGAACACATTTCTTTCTAAATCTATATTTCAGTCTCCAATCCACTAAGCTCAGTTGACATTACCTCACAGCCACTCCAAGGTAGTAATGCAGCTGGATAACAACAGGTATAACAGTGAAGAAAAAAAGCACTAAGGGTGCAATGCTTCACTGAGACACACAAAATTAGTCGAAAACTTGTGTACCATCACTGCTCAGCTGACTGCCAACTCACTGCTTCAGAATGTTGCCAATACTGAGCACAGATCACAGCAGAAGTCACTGCTCGGGTCATCAGACATTCTCTGCAACATGTTTTCCTTCGTGACAAATTTTAATTACTCCCAACAAATCTACTTTTCTATTTCCTCCAGATTTTTGCTTTGGGCTTTGGGATTTTTTTTATTTGGGTTTTGGGGGGAAGGTTCAGAACATACAGCAATGCTTTCTTCCAAGCAATTAGGATGGACTGGCATTCCCTGGCTCGGTTCCATTCTCACAGACCTATACCCACACTTTGCTACAAGGGAATAAAGTTTGTGAGAAAGTATCATCACTAGACACTGTCAAAATCAGATTAATATACCATTTTTCTGAACCATCCCAATGCAACAGTTTATAAGCTGATGGCAGAAATAACTGATACAGCCCGTCTCCTCTTCTGTGTTTGTCTATGCTATTAAAGGCACCTGGAAAAATCCCTGCTGCATGTACCTAAATTTGAAGTACCACGGTGAAAGCTACCAAGCAAATCGCTACTTCAAAGTCATCCCAGGCCACTCATGGGCTCTTGGTGCATATACAGCTGAGAGGCCCACATGCCAGGCTCTGAAGAATGGTCCATCCTCCAACAGCAATTTGAGGTTGGACTCTTGGATGAGACAGGTGTGCCTGGGGCTTTGCCAAACACCAGGGCTTTCCACCCACTGCCTTACTGCTTGCAGGCACAGTAAGAAGCAGTGAACTGACTGTGCAGCTGGCTTTATCCCCTTTCCCCTCCATAAACAATGGAGCTTTAAAAGTAGGTAACAACTTGCTATCAGTGTTGATGGCTGCGGATAAGGCTGATTATATTTAAGTGGTAAAGAGTACAAAAAAAAAAAACCCTGCAAGATTGCTTACATGCTTATTTAGAGCCAAAAGATGGGCTGAGCAGTAAGCAGATTTTCAGGATGTTGCCAAGAGCAGCTTCTCTCAATACCTCTGTAAGAAAAAGGAGCCATAAATATCCAGCTTGTAGCAGTATTTCAGGTCCTGCAGATTAGCCTAACACATTAGCCAGGAAATGCCTGGCACCTGGTGGCAGCCATAAAACTATTTAAAAACGATTAAATATTAAGGAAACATTCATTTACCCTAAGAAAGCAAGCCTTCACCACTGGCTGAAACCTCTGAAACAATAATTCAGGGCCAAAACTCATTACCCACATGAACTCAAGACGCTCCAACGTTCAACCACCCCTCTGACTTGAGGAACTTTGGATTTAAAGGCCTATCAATTCCCCCCACAGCCCACGCTGTCGTACCCTGAACCTCACGACAGGACTCACACACTGCCAGGGCAGCACACAGTTAGTTACCTCACTACAAACAGCAAGCTCTCCATCAAGTGAGTTCTCTCCCTCATCAAATAACTGCTTCCCAGCTCCCTCCCCCAGCACACGCTGCATTTACTGCTCAAACAGCTTATGCCAACATCACTACCTTTTTTGCCAAAGGGTTTACTGCGCATCTGAAAACAATTATAATTGCCTAGCAAGTAATACAGCATGATTGCCTTGCATTTTTCAAGGCAAGGCAAAAGAAAAGGAGGAAAACTGTTCATTTGCACACATTAACACGGACACAGTACATTCATGCAAAACTGCATGCGTTTCTTCCACTATAGAATGGCTTGTGTTATCTTTCATTATAACAAAAACCTTAGAAACTGTCATCATCTTGATTAGCTCTCAACAGGCTTTTTTTAAACCCATAGAAAAGAATATTTCTTCCGCACTCCAACAGGCAAGAAGATTCATGCTAGTCTAAGGCACAGCAAATCTGTCTGCATCTTACTCTGCAGCGTCTGCAAACTAATCCCATATGAAGCAGCCTGGAGTCAAATCCCACACTGTTAGTCAAGACAGCAAGACTGCATGCTCTTTTTCCACTAGAGCTTATTTTTTCAGCATCAAAATTTAGACTGCATTTTACTGTGCAAAGTCCATCATTTTAGTATTATCACAACACTTAACATAACCTTCTGAATGCTTGTGCAGCACTGAAAAACCTTCCTAGTCAAAAATAACGGGTTTGTATAAAAAAGGTCCACTGTCAGTGAATTGTTTCTTTCAATTAATATTATCAATTTAATTAAAATCAGACATTATCTTGGAGGTGCGGGGGTTGACTCTATTCTAAGATCACCCTAGAATGTGCCCCCTCACCATACTCCACAGTCTCATTTCTCAGACATATAGAAAGCCATATACAAAAATCAGAACTAGTCATAGGAAAAATATCTGTGTTTACAGCTTGCTGCTTTGGAAGTTTGCCAGCATGCACAGCATGGAAATTATAAACAGACTGGAATCTTGACTTAAACCTAGAATGAAAAACTTCTTATACTAAATGCTACATCATGCTCCCTCTGCTGTTACTGTCTTTGAAATACATAATCATACTCGGCTCATACTTCCTGCACTGGGATGAGCTACATTAAGAAAAATTAATCTCAAAAAATTATTGCATAAGAAAGAAGCAAAAACTCCTGTCTGTTAGGGTCACAGGAATGCCAATTTACAACTGTAGAATAATGCTCTGCCTGTAAAATGTGCGTGGCAGTTATTAGTGGCTATATTTACAACATACCTGCAGGGATTATTTCCTAGGTCCTTAAAGCCAGAAAATTTAAGTATTAATCTGGTAAACACGGCTGTGGTGGCCTTTCAGCTCAGCTTCAGCCTCGCAGAGCGCCTATAAAATTAAGGGACAAGAGAATTTTGTTATAAAAATGTCTTTTGGGAAAGCCTACCTGCAGCACTTACCCCTGAGGAAGGGGCGATTACTGGCCAGGAATACCAACCACCACAAAGGCAGAGAGCTCCGAACACAGCCTGTATCCACACAGCCTCTCTCCTCCTTGCTGCCAGGTTATAAGGACATGCTTCGCTGCTTAAAATAAAATTACCCCTGTCTGGTCAAAAGCATGTTTTGCATTACTCTGCCACAGCAAGCTCCTGTTTCCCAGCTGAGCTGCGGTAACCCTGCAGGGAGTGCCTTCAGCTCTCACACCAGCCTGCCCTCCTCTGCCTCCGCACACCGGCGCTCTCCGGGCTTATCACCCCAGCTCAGCCGCACAGCTGCGGGATTTCACCAAATAGGTTTCTTTTTTTTGGTGGGTTTTTTTTTTTTTGGAAAACACATCTCAGGTTAAACCCAAATGAGACAGAACCAGTGGGGTTTTGCACACCTTTATGAAGCTTAAAGGCGTGACTGGCTCCATCCCGAGGCTCCAGCAGGCTGGAAGCGCACATACATACAGCAGCTGACACAGAGTAAAGTAAGTGGCAATATCAGCTGTTTCTAAACCCAAAGGAAAAGGGGAATCGGCGCTTCCACGGTTTTTTGTAACGATGACACTTCTAACATGTTTACCAGGACCCAGTGATATTTTTGGAGTGTTATTTTCGGCTTTTCCCCCCCAGCAAAGCCTCAGTCCCCCGCCAGCGCCCAGCAGCGGGGAGCCAGGCCGGAGCCATTGGCTCAGCCCGCCGTCAGAGCCTGGAACCCGGCGCTGCCCCGG